TAAAACATTTCCAATTTCTGCTAGCGCTAAAAAAAATTGTAGCAGTAACAACAAAAACACTTCCACAAAAATCATGTGAAAATCGCCATAAACTTGAGCCATAATTCTATTGGTGTGGTAGTACTATTATCTTTTAAATTTTCAGAAGAGAAATTTCTGTTGTTAACTTAAAATGACCATCACTACGTTCAGTGTAATTATCCTACATTTAATTGTGCCTTAATGTGAATATTAAGACTTAAACTACAGGTGATGTAGACATGCCTTTGTTTTCACATTGATATTTCTTCTTAAGCAATTCTCCCTTTTTGATCCTTGATGATGAAAGCCACTTTAGATGTTCTTAGGGTTTGTAATAACTTTTAAAAAGTCTTTATGTTGTTTAAAAGCAGTAGACTTTCTGCACAGGAAGGAAGTACATGATAAGGTGTCTGTAGGAGCCTATTGTCTTTGGTCACTGTATTACATTCCCATTGCCTCTGCAAGTCCAGTTCCTCCTTCTTTGCTGTGCTTCCTCCATTTTTTTTAAATCACTTGGCTATACAGAGCTGCCTCATGTCATTCTTTGCATACATCATCTTTGTTTTTTCTCTCTTCTGCATAATGGCCCAGCTTTCTGGGAGTAGCTGTTATCCTGAATGTGATCCTTTACTAAAATGGGGATTGAATAAAGGTGAAGCACAAATTATCTGGAAGCAAAGGAAAACCAGGCATTTGAAAAGGACCCAGAAAAAAAAAACAAATAATGAACCGGAGTGGCTTCGATGAATTGCTGTAGAGGGAATTCTTGGTTTTGACACAAAAGGAACACATGAATACCAAGGAAAACCTAGGGAGAGAATCTCAGTAGGAAACCTGCCTGGTAAGCTGCTCAGGACAGAGGGCTGAAGCCAGTAGCCCTCCAGATATGAATAGAAAGAAATGTATTTTATGACTAACAGTTAAACATTCAAACATGCTGTTTTTGGAACACAAGGTACTTCGAGGAGTTGACACCCTTTCATAATTCATGTTCATTGTTCCTCTAAGTAAAATATGTGTCTCCCTTTAGTTATTCTGTTAGGAATTGTGCTTTAAAGGCAAGAGGACATTTTTGATAATGCACATCTTAAGACTTTTCATTAAAGTACCAAATTTAAATTCTACCTTTTTGTGCACTCTGACATTTTTGTCTGGCATTTTCATTAATTTTGCGACATACATAAATGTAGCTGAAATGTTAACTGATCAATACTTTGTCTCTCTCATGTAGCACTAGCGCTCCGTTCCCCAAGGACCACACAGCAGAACAGAAATTAAATGTGTAAAATATCAAATGTTAATGTTAAACACAGCAGCACTTACTGTATAACGACAGAAAAGGCTAAAACAATTCCAAATGGACAGATGGTACCACAAATTATCTACAATCACATTTAAAGATTAAAGTTTGTCCTGTAAAATAATTCTTTGACGCACACTGAAGTGTGTCCTTTTACTGATAGCTCAGTTGTCCAATTATTTTTGTGCTCATTACAGTGAGAAATGACAGTACTGAAAAGAAAGAGAAAATGTGCACTCTTTCTTCCCCCATGTTGCACCCACTGACATCCACAAGAACACAAACGTCTGGTCAAGAGCCTGATGAAAATTAGGCCCAATTTATGAGACATTTCCATGTCTACAATAGATGATTCCTAAAGACGAGCAGTGCCTTCTGTACCACACATGTCTGTGTTCATTCTTAAGCAGACAATATTCACAGTAAAATTTTAAAACCGAATGCACCGCACACAAAATAAGCACAGGCCCAGAAATGTGTCTGCTGTATTTTATCCATCACCTTCCAGACCAATGCCTGTCTCTAATATCATCAGCTGCTTTGACTCTTCCCTATGGCAGAGAGGTAGTGTTAAAGCTGGGGCTGTCCTAAGCCTGCATTTCTGTGCTACTTTAATCGACATAGGGATTTTAAAAAATTGTTTTCCACTTTTATTATTCTACATTTATTTTTGGATACTAAGTAAATTAGAAAAGTTAAAATAGAATAGAAAAAAGGCACTTAAACATTATGAAGTTTACTGGCTTAGGCCTAAAACCAAGCCACATGACAGAAATGCCTGTGCTCTGTAAGGTGGCCGCATTTATAAAAATGTGGGCCAAGTGGAACCGATATCATGATAAAAGACCTGTGATCCATCAACAGGACATGATGAGAACAATATGCCTGTAACAATGGGGTGCTGCTCATACCCTTCTCCTAATGGAAAGCTGTTCTTTTCAATGAACTGGCCTAAAAAGTCTCTAGTTATGCAATGAGATCGTTGAAACATTTTATTTTTAAATATATAACTTAATATCTATAAGATGAATAAATATCCTAAGTATTTTTTGTTTAGAACTGCTGTGATATTAAAATTACAAAGTTTATATATATTTTAAAAGCTCTTTCAGAAATAGTATCTGCTGTGTGGCCTTGGGCAAGCTACTTAACCATTCTGTGCCTCAGTTTCTTCCTTTTGTATAATGGAAAACTAACACTGTTTACTTCTCAGGTTGTTGGGAAAATTAAATTGGCTAATACATGTACAACAGTTCCCTGACACATAGTAAGTGCTTACCAAATATTAGTGGTTGTTTTTGTCATTATAAGGAGATTTTTATGTTAGAACTTAATCAGAGGTTAGAATAAATGATAAAGAATTATGAAGTAGTTTATGAAAACTCCAGGAAAATTTGCTACAATAGTACTAAGCTATGTTTATCACAATTTAATAACTAGCTTCATTAGAGCAAATCCTTATTTATCTGGCATCATTGAAGAATGAGTTTCTACACCTAAGAAAAAAATTTAGATTAATTTATTGGTACATAGATTGATCAACTGATTCTGTCAGCCATTTACACTGGGAGCTTACTAAGTGATAGAAACTGCAGGTGATGCTGGAGGACCAGGCTGAAAAGGCAGGGTTCCCATTCTCATAGAACTCACAGTACAGGTGTAATAAATGACATTTGGTTTTGTTATTAGTTGTTTTAATCACATTCAATAGAATGCGATTCAGAGCTTCTTTTTTCCAGTGAAACACAGGTAATATTATGGGTTCTTCACCAAAGTACTCTTATTGTGTGTTCACATTGTAGTTTGTGTTCTCTTTTCTCACCATCAGTGTCACCAGGCCCTTTCCCATCTTTATTATGCCTGACTCCCTCTTTTTTTTTTTTTTTTTTTTTTTTTTTTTTTTTTTTTTTTTTTTTTTTGTTAAGCCTCTTGCATTCAGCTTGTATTTCATAGGACTGAATCCATCAGACACTGACTATCAGCTAAGAGAAATATTATTACATTTCTTCTCCAGGGAATTTTGACCCCCTTAACAGCGGACACATGCAAGTAATATCATGTAAATGTACCTAAGTTGGTCAGAATTTCAGTATCTGATTTTTTTTTTTAAGAATCAAAAGGAAATTGCAAAAAAGGCTGCCATCTTGAATTTCATTTTACGTGAGTGACCTCCAGAAATCAGAAGTTTATGAAGACTTACACAATACACTGTAACACTAAAGTGTCCAAAATGAATGTTGCTGAACAAATAATACAATTATATACATTTCTCAGTTTTCAAATTTTACAAACAGCTGTGAGAAATGATTTTTGAAGGAGTGAATCAAAAATGGCAGCACGATCTTTTCAGGATAATTTTTTTTTGCATCTGTTATATGACCCCATAGAACCTGGAAGTAATAGTATAAAATAGACATAGAAACTCAACATCTTTTTTCCTCAATGTCAAAGAGCCTCTTGGGTAGGGAAAAATCAGAATAAAGTTCGCTTTACAGTACCACATATATTTATTACGAGAAAGAGCTACAAAAAGAATATTGAGAGAGATGAGAGAGAGAGAGAGAGTTTTTTTTTTCTCTTAAACAATGATAATGACAATCAGTTTCTTTAGGGAGACAACAACATGTCTATGGGAAGCAGGCTGCCTAACTTTCTGGTAACTTACAACACAAAAGGACATACACACTCTTTGTTCCATGTGCTCAGACATTAATGAGAGTCCCATACAAGGCCTGAGAGGAAGACAGAGCTCAAAGTACTAAACAGATGTGCATACACTCATTTGGATGGTAATACTAAAATGTTGATTTGTTACTATAATTAAGGCTCTTCTTCTAAGCCCCCATAATAAAGTTGTATTCTGCTAAACTGGCAACTATAAGGAAGCATAAGGTACTCATATTCGAACAAACATGAAAATAAAATAATGGATTTCAAAAGAACGACTCTACTTAAATTTCAAACTGAAATCCTGAATAAGCCAAAATAATGTGAGAGAAGAAAATCCCAGCTAAAGCTCAGAGCAAAGTATTCTTTTGGATTTTCTAGTTCTGCCAGTTGGTCTCATCAGCAGTTTTTAAATAATCAAAGTAAAAGGCCACAAGACGAACATATTAAAGGACTTTTTGGATCTATCGAATTCTTACTTGTGACTTTTTTAAAAGCTAGAATCTCAGAAATAATAAAACATCTCTTAAATAGGTCACATCCACTTCCAATTGAATCACATGTTAAAGCATAACCAAGCAGTATTACAGACTTCTGCTACCAATGATTTTCATATCCTGAAGAAAAATAACCAAAGAACAAATAAAATCAAATTGAGGATGGTCAAGATTATTACTATTATTTTTCACACGGAGGACTTTTCTTGGCTGTCCTGTTGGGGTTTGGAATTATGCAATATGTAAAATTTTACTTTTTAACTGTCACAGAGAAAATGATACATTGGCTGAGATGTCTTGTGTTCCGGAAATCTGAGGGGGGAAAATATATTCTTAGACTCAGACCTTGTACAATCCATCAGGTTCCTGCCCACGGCAAATCTGTCCAGTCAAGTCTTAAAATAGGAGTTTTAAAATGGCCACATCAACATAACTGTTACTATAGCCACAGAAACATGCAGCTATGATTACTGAATTTAATGAATAACAATGTAAGTAATACAGTATGATCATACCACAAAAGCAGCGAGACTCCTTGGGGGTGAATCCCAATCAAAGCAACTATTAACGTAGTATGCAGCATTTACCAGCACCATAACACAACGCTTCATTCTGATAAAGTTTCTTAGTAGCAGCTGGAAATGAAAGGAAAATGAAAATATTACTATAATTTGCAAGACTTAAAACCATCAGATATACTGCAAATTCTTCAAGGTTATTGTGACTTAAAAGGATTCAGAAAGTTAATAAAGTTATAAGAACATACCAAACAATCTGGCTCACAGTTAAAGAATTTATTTCTGAAAAAGTGGAAAGAACTGCTTTTTAAAGTAAATATAATTTTAAAAGTAATGTTAACATGTAGGTTGAACTACCTATGCTCATAAGAAAAAAAAATTTCTAACAGACTAATTTCTTTTTTCACTTACACACTATGTACCTTTATTAATTTTAAACTCTTAGACCTTATTGTGGTTTTGAGATTCATAGAATGGTTTAATTGCAAGATATTTCAAAGTGAAGTTGGAATCTGTTTATTTAGGGTCTTACAGAAAAACCTATCCAGAATTGCTTTCTTATAGACAACAAAATTTTTTCACCATTTTAGTGGAATTCCTTCCATTCTTACTATCATTCTATTATTCTATCTATCTATGTATCTATCTATCATCTATCTATCTATCTATCTAATCTATATCTCTCCCACAATAAATTTAACCTATATTTTCTCATTATTTTTTTCATAATTTTGGAAGTAAGGGAAAATGTATGGTACCCAAGTACTTTACAAAACCTCTTATTAAAACAAGTATATAAAAATTGATATAATTAGAAATTAAAATTTAAAATTAAGGCATGACTACAACTGTAAAAAAGAATAGCTCATGTACAATTTGATGATTCAAAAATACCATAGCTATATTATAATTAGAATAATTTATGTCTGCAAGTTAATATTTTGCTATTTTCAAATATACTTCAATGCTGATATGATATTTTAAAGAAGTAGTTATCAAAGTTTACTGAAGTCATATGGAAAATATATATATGTGTGTAAATACAGACACATGTATGTGCATGCCAACTTTGACAAGTTGCTAAATTGGAAATTCCTCGATGGCAAAGTAGAGTTTGTCTATTACTTTTCCTTCTTTGCCCCTATCACTTTACATTAAGAACTACTTTTATTACTTTCATGTATAATTGTGAAGAAATCTTATTTACATTTCTACTTAGATATTGCATTTGTCACTCATATACTGACTTAAACAACCAAATACTCCATTGTTTTGCTGAATTTATTAGATTAAAAGTAAAAATATATTTAGGCTTCTAATGTTATAAAAATTATGAAATATTTCAAGGCACAAATATGTTTAGTGAACTTTTTAGCTGTAACAAATACATTTTAGTTTTGCTCTGCCTGTGAATTGGATGTAAATTTTTTTAAAAAAGGGTGGTTTAGCACTTTTTAAAAATTTGATATTAAGCCCAATTAAAAATGATAAGCAATAGACATCAAGCTCAACTTAAATTTTTCATGATAGAAAAATCAGATTTCCTGATTCTAACTTTCTTAGCTAAAAATAATAAAAGTTTACTTCTGAAAGATCATAGTTAAAATCTAATTAGCAGGAAGGTTTCCCTCAGAAGACGGAGCCCCATCGCATCTGGATTAGAGGGAAGAGCTTAGGCTGGGCTCGCTTTACACACACCTGCAACATACCTGTGGGTGGTCTGGACATATATTTGAACCTCGGCTTTTGGTGTTCTCATTTTTTATACATTCCATGGCAATCAAATTGCATTTTATGTTCAAAATGATCATTCTTTTGCTAACATATGACTACATATCCATTATATGCATCACCTACAGTATCCCCTTTCCTTTCTGACCACCCCCATCCAATTTATTAGTTTGGTATTGTCCTTGTTTGATCTTTTAAAGAAAAGAAGGAAGAGAGAATAAGAAAGAATAAAAGAAAGTGCCATTTTCAATAAGTAGATGATCAAAAATTCCAGTCATCCCCCCTCCATACCTTTAAAGTTTATTTGAATTTACTTAGATGTTTTACAGATCTAATCAGGTCTTCCCAGAGGGATTAATCTTTTCTTGTTTTTTTTTACCTGTTTAGAGAGTCTGTTTTCCTCTTCAATGTACTTCTGTTCTTTGGGTATTAATGTTCGTAAGCTGGCTTTCACCTATACATCAACATATGTGTCTGTTATGGATTAATATATTACAAATGTTTACAAGTTTTTCACGCAGTTCAATTTGCAATAATCTCTAAAGTTTCAAAGTCCTGGCTGCTGTGCTCATAAAATATAAATGTATACAGTTGCACATGCATGCGCTTCCCTTTCTTATGCCGGCAGGCAGTGGCCAGAACACAACCGCAGCAGCAGTCGCCAACTAGAACAGAAAGTGTGGGTGTGCCAGGCAGTGGCAGAAGCGTATTCTCCAGGATACATCAAGGTTTAGAGAAAATGAGGAATGACAGAAATTCTCTACAAATCAGGAACAAAAGCTTTCATGAAACTGAACTCTTTAGCAGTACAAAAAAGCCAAAGTTAAGACTTACAGCATTAAAAATCACATCTATTTCAAGATAGATGACCCCCTTTGTTGGCCCTGTCAGCTGCTTGTTTTTCAAGACGTAGGCTTTCTGTTCACCATTTTGAATCTGCGGGAAAAGGACATGACAGCCGTCTGTCTCGCGGTCTCCACTGAATACACTCCCTCAGTGACCTTTGACCCCCAGCTGCTGAAACTGACAGAGAACCCAAAACAACTGTGGCAATTCTGACAAGTACCTGTTCATTACCAGGATCAAGTCTGTCAGGAAAAATTAACTATCATGGGATTCAACATGGCCGTGAATTGAGTATGTTAAAATTTTTAGTGTTCTTATTACAGACCTTGGTTGAGAAATGACAGACACAGAGCTAAGAGTTTTCTTTCTTTCTTTTTTTTTTTTCTGTGAGCAAAAGCAACGCAGAACAGTGTGTCAGGTGAATAAAACTTACAGACAGCAATGGTATAGCAACTTTGCCCAGAAAGTCAGCACTTCGGTCCCGATCTTCATCATAAACTGTCACTTCAAGAACTGAATGGATATCTTTAATGTTGCTGCATAATAAATATATGTAAGAAAAAAAGATTTCATCAGTGGGAAGCAAGAACAAGAATGGGTTTGAAAATTTAGATAGCTCCAGCTGATTTTGTGTGTGTTTATATGCATGCTATTTGCATACACACATACACAAGGTAGCTTGGTATCTGACAGAATTTCCCATAATGCAACTACAGTGATGGTTCTATGATCTGTATCTTTAAACACCATTGTAATTTCAAGTTATCATTTTTTAATGAAATATAATCTCCTATCTGAATGGGCACATAATAAGTTATTTAAAAAATCAAGAAGTAGCACCGGTAGGTTTTAGACTTTTCCTTCTTCTAATTATCACAATTCACACCTTTTCATTACCCTCACATAAAACACCACCAGGTTTGATATCAACAAGAGTTACAGTATATTTTATATAATTATTCTTTTATATAATAATAGGACATCTCTTGTTTGTTTATAGCTCTCACCAAATCATTGACTTAGTTTATGTTAGATTTATAGTAAAAATTCACAAGCACAGAAAATAGAATGGAGAAAATGTAACATATAGTTATTGTACCACCCTGGAATTTAGAAATTAAGCAGTGTTTCATTATGTTCCAAAGGCAACATATGTTAATAAACAACTGTGTGAACTCTTCATATTTTTGTTTCTGGAAAGTAAGTGCAAATTGTTGACAGCATTTATTCTTTGATCAAACTGTTTACCAAGAAAACATGAATTAAGAGGAAACAATAAAGTGAATATATTCATTACTGAAAAATTGCAACCACATGAGAGAAGAGGCTTTATCAGGGCACAATCAATTAATGGCTTTGATAATAATCAAACCTATTCATTCAATTATGCATTCCAGAGAAAAATACTCTCTGCAATCTTCTTAGGAGTACAAGTCTCCTGACCAGGCTTTTATCTCTTACAAAAATGTGGAATTCCTTAAAAATACATTGGTCAGAAAGTTAAAGCTGATTAGTTACCGGCTCTTAAGCAGAGACATAATAAATTAATAAAGAATTTCACAGTTTTTCATATACAAAAAAATAGAAGTATGTTAGAAAACTTTAAAGAAGTACTTATGTTTGGAGAATTTTCCTTTGTTCAGAGTTCATTTCAAAAGCTCCCTTTAAAAAACCGAACATAGGAGTTACTATAGTATAGCATTGGCAGCTTTTACAGTGTATGATTGAAAAGATTTACAAACTTTTTAAAACAAAAGGAAAATTAACTCAAAGGGTGTTTTGGTATCCAGGACAATACTTAATATTCTCATTGTGCTAAAATGAAAAGAACCAAAACTAAAGCATCTGCCTAAATCGAGACTGGATTGTTTGCTGATTTCAGCAATGGAACAAATAGAGCTTTGTCTTCCTTGGTGTCAATGCAATTGGGAAGAATTTCAATAGAAAGTATAAAAGGAAGAAGCACTATGGCGATTTAGTTAATGGGAACAAAATCCTTAGTCAAATCATATAAAAGCACAGTTTTAAAAAATGTCTGTGAAAACAAAGAAAAACGCCATACCCTTTCCCCCAGGTTTCACTTTCAGGAAGGTAGGAGGAAAATTCATTGTTGCTAGCAAAGGCAGGCCAGATGCGTTGAGTTGTGAATAAGTTAAGAATAAACACACACATTTAAAAAAACAACCCTCAAAAATAAATCGAATTTAACACAAGTTTGGATTCAGAGCCCAAAGCAATGCCTACTTACAAGGTGAAGACTTTGTTCCACTCAGGATTGAGATTTTTGTAGACAGTATGTGTTAACAGTCTATCGTTGTTCAGTTCTACCACACAAAATGGGTCGCTTTTTCCTACAAGAGATTTTCAGTAAATATTTTTAGTGTAAATGGCACCCACAGTTCACTGTGTCAAGATGATGGCCATATCTCTTTTGCAAAAAGTTTCATAGTAAACAAAAAAGTGAAGTACAATTTTAAAAATTAAAAAAAGAAACCACCATCAAAATAGAGCTAGATGTAACTGGTTGATGTTAGCAATTGTTATGATTCATAGCAATTTAGAGGCTGAAAAAAATAAAAGAGACAAAATTATATAGCTGGCACTTCAATTTGCAATTTTTTAAAACAAAAATAATTCTAAAACTGGCAATTATGATGGAGAATGTGATGCATGTCCATCCCTAAATCGGTTTTTACTGAAATCTGTAAGAACCATCTGAAAAGTACAGCCCATTTCCTCTAAGGCATATATTTTTTTCAACTCATCTGATTCACTATTAACTTGTAACAGGAAATTCTAATCATGTTTATTTTGGAAAAACTACTATATTGCAGAATTATAATATTTTAATTGGACCAAGATTGAGTTACTTTCTTCTGAGATATCGATGATATCACAAGAAGGTAAATTAGACCCTCTGAGGCAGAAAAAACATCTACCATTTGAAACTAAACATCAACAACTAAATATGCATGTTAAAGAGCAGAATCTTTTTTTTTCTGTTCACTGAAAATAAAGGATTTGGAAGTTATAATCTGTGTATAGCAATTCTGCCCTGCCATACTCAAATCTCATCCTTTAGGCAATTACATTTTGTGAAGTCCTCAATATTTTTGTAATGTTATGCCCTGTATTATAAGAACCCATAAAGTCAGAGGCTCTACGGGGGCAGCATTAATGATATTAGTGCAGCATGTAATTTGTTTGATACCTTATACAAATGACAATGAAATCAATATTTAGACAAAGCTGTCCAGAGGTCATATCTTTTAAACTACAATATTGATTTAGACTACATAAGAGGTTAATGTGCATATTATTAACTTTAATGATAAAGAATAATTGTTTTAAATGCATTGTGAATTGTAGTCGCAGTAGTTTACACTTCTGCAAAAGCTTAAATATCATTGAAGATTTTCAATTAAATTTTAATGGGAAGGAATTAATTAGCTATCAGTGACAGATAAGCTACGTATTCCCATCCATACAGCAGTGTATTTACTTTCCATAGTGCCATTTTTAAAATGAGCTGTACAAACTTTGACTCACCTTTACTTTAATTTATTAACTTTATATTAAAAAAGAGATTTAATATGTGTATGTTAGTTCAGTGGCCTCATATACTCCAGGATAACTGCATAATTTAACATCGTGGTAGTCTTCTCAATTTTGGGTCTTGAAAATAATTTTAAATGAAGAATAGAGCACTACAAGAGCACCAGCTCTTATGGGTCTGGTGAAAATTGTACATCTGGGTGAGGATCGGTATTATCTTTTTTCCTCCAATCTTCTTTGTCCTCTTGCCTACATGTTACCACCCTCACATCCAACGCACACATCCCATGAAAAATAGTGTTCAAAAACGAGTATTTTGTTCACCAAAACACACTGCAATAGGTTTTATTTGGCACATCAGCGACTTTATCTTTTCCCATAGAATTCGGATTTAAGCATAAACAGGCAGATTCAAATGGTTTTCCAAATACAGTTAAATGTAAGATACTAGGTAACACCTTTCAAAATAACTGTGCCACATCTTAGGTAGTTAGTAGGTCACAGACATAGGAAAAGCTGGGTAATGTTTTGACTGTTGGTTCACTCAACTGACAAATATTTATTACTTACCATATACCAGGCAGTGTTCTATTTGTTGGGGAAACAGCAGTGAATTAAACAATTTTTTAAAAATCCCTTACTTCATGGAATTTACATTGAAGAAGACAGACAATAAATATATTTTATAGTATCTTAAATACTATGGGGAAAAATAAAGATGGGAAAGGTAACAGGGAGTGGTGGTATGTATATGCAATTTTTAAAAGGACTGCAGGGAAAGTTGTGTGAAGATAGTGACATGCAGGCAAAGAAATGAAGGAGGTGAGCCTTGGATAACCCAGAGGAACTGTCTGTGGAAAGATCAGAGAAGTGCCTGAGCCAGGCATTTCCAAGAGTATCCAGGAAGCCAGTGTGGCTGGAGGAAGGTTTTGGGGAAATTGGATGGAAAGGGGATTGGAGAGGCAGCAGTAGGTGACACAGAGAGGTCTGGAAAGAGTGGCAGGTCTCTGAAAAAAACTTGGCTTTAACTCTCATTAAGCGGGGAGGTTTTGAAGGATTTGATTGAGGAGTGACATGCTCTGATGGCTGCTATTTGGAAAATAAGATAGAGAAAGGACAATGGAGGGGTATGAAGAAGAGTCAGGAGGCAATTGCAATAATCTAGGTGGTGGGACATGGTTAGATTCTGGCTATATTTTGAAGGGAGAATCATCAGAATTTGCAGATGTCAATATTTAATCATCTAATATACCTTCACATTATTATCTGATGCTGAAAAACAATTCATTGAGCTTAGCCAAGCCAGTTATTTTTTTTTCTCCAAGGAGAATAAGCATTCAACAAAGTGCTCAGACCAGATATCTCTAGAATCTGACAAAAAGGAAAGTATAGGTTAAGGAGAGAGCAGGCAATTTATGATTACTTTCTATTCATCTTTTCCTTCTGAAAAGTTATGTTTTTACAGTTATCAGTAATGGATGCCAATATCAGGTCTTTCCACACTATGTTATGTTTGACTTATTTAGGAATTATCTTCCCGTCACTGCATGATTCAAGGGCAATTAAAAATTAACAGCAATTTCAATCAAAATAATAGTAAATGTATAATATCAAATTCTGTAAAGTTTTACCACTAAAAAGCAAGGAATACGGTTGTATTTTTAAAAGGTGACTACACATAGTTAAAATGCTTATCTGGTTTGCCAAATAGTGTTTTAAATGACTGGCTTTTCAGACCTAAATTTTGCAGACTTGATTATCTGCCACTTAAACAAACAAAACCAGTCAGAGAAATACTAGTGATGGACCTAACCATTAATTATCTCCTTAATTATTCCTTCCTTTTATCCTTTTATCATTCCATTTAGGCCCTAAGATAGGCTTCTCTGCTTGATGAGAGTACCTGGGTTGTGGGGTTGACTCTAGGATGAAGTTGATGTCTCTAAAGTGCACTATATTCTGCAAAGTTCCAGACAGTGATACAAAGCAGTCCTCTGTATAGTTTTCATTCAATACTGTGTGGCTAGAAGTGCAAAGAATGAAGGCAGCATCCAAAATTGAAGGTATTTTGCTTCTGATAACTTTTGAGAGCCTAAATATATGCAAACACAGATTATATAATCTCTTGTCTCCCTCTCACTCATTTTTATCACACGACTAAAGCAGACCTGTGGGTATCAACTGGCTCTTCCTGAAGCCCCATTATTTTGGCTAAAAAGAGTCAATCCTTCTCCTTAAAAATGCTAGAAACTGGAGAATTTGGTTCAGATAGAAAATAGAAATGGTGGCAGTGCCGGGTGAGGGCAGGGTGCTGTGAGGTTGATTGCTTTAACCGCCATGACAGCTAGGAAGAAAATCAGTGTTCCTTGAGGACACCGCAATTTTCCATGTTGACAATTTTCTAGAGAGAAATAGGAATGCTTTCTGAAGCATTCATTACTTATTGAGTGGCTGCTCTGCTCACCCCAGAATTTTGAGTATCATTAAGACAGTCTAGCTCTCAAGGCATGCACAGTTTTGTGGACATGATAGACATGTAAATACACAATTATGATGCAGAGTTGTAAGGACGGTAATAAAGGTAAGTGAAGGGTGCAACAGGAGCAATGGGAAAGAGGCATGCCATTCTGTAACTGCAGAACATAAAGAAGGAAGGGAAGCGAAGACTTTTCCAGTGGCTATGACTCTGGTGATCCATGGTGCTTGTACAGCTTGATCACAGCGCTTTTTAAAGCAAAGGACAATGACATTAAAAAACAGACTAACATTTTATGATTAGGAATATTTTGCTTAAATGTATTTGTACCTTTAATAGTCTCTATAATACAAAAACCTAGATATGTGTTACCTAACTGCTATAAGCTAGATACATAAAAATATTACGTTAAGACTGATATATTTATCAGTAATCTAGTTAAATACTAAGGGTTATTTTTTCCTATGGATCTTTATTTTTTTTAAAAATCTCCCACGAGAATTAACACTAAAGAGAGTCTTTTACCCTAACTCATAAAACAGAATCTATAACGGAATTTAAAGCATATAGTCTATTGTCCCAATCCTTTTTTGGGGGTGAAAAGCCATTCCTACAACAATAAAACAAACATCAGAATTGTCTCCAATGGGTGTCTTTTCTGGCAATCTTCAAAATAGCACCAAGGATTAAATGGGGTGCACTGACTGGCTAATTCTCTCTCACTCTTAGTCCTTGCTCTTTGAGGTCGCAGCACTGACATACTGATAAAGGACTGTGGGAAAGTCTGTACCGCCCCTGCTCACTTGCTACCTGTTTTGTGGGCAAGTGGACGACTTCAGTTTGTGCAAACTACTGGTTTGCGCATTAAAGTTACTCAAAAGATACTGAATGATATACTTGCTCCCAGAATAGAGAGTTAATCCTGATCCACCAGTGGTGGGCTTTGTCCGGGGTCATTTTGCTGCTGACAAGTAGCACAGTTTGCTGGGTGTGATGTGTTAAAAAAAGTGTGTGTATGGGGACCCAGTGACTACCTCTTTGTTGCCATGTCTGAAAACACAGAAGGCTTTCAATAGAATGGAAAGCAATTCATACCCATGGGGGCCTTTTATTTTAGGCCTACCTTGCACAAATTAGGTTCTTTTGTTTAATTTTCTCAGTTGCCACAGTTTGAAATGACTATATTTTAATCTTTTTTTTTTTAAATCAAGGTTGCCATCTGTCCCTTATAGAAACTGGCATTTCAATCATAACATATAACAATGTTATAGTTGAGGGAATTCCATAGCGTCCATCAGAACAGAAAGCAACGTATGTCGA